CATCCTTAAAAGCCACTGGCAGAGGCTCTGGCCATCACTGAGACCTCATCCTTCTCCCTAAGATAAGGGGACAGAGGATCTCCTTTGAGTCCAAGCCTTCCCCACCGTCCCTGGCGTTCTTGTCTGCGGCAGCGTCTCGAGGCTGCCGGCGCAGGCTCGCCACCCTGCCCGTGGCAGGACGGCCTGAGGACCTGCAAACCTGCCGCTCTTTGGAGACCCCACTTCCCGGAGCCTCTCCCCCCAGCCTGCCCCCAGCACGCACACACACTGCCGCACGCAGGTGCCCTGGGGGTGAGCGTGCAGCCGCCCCTCAGTTCTGGGCAGGGAGGGGGGCTCAGAACTCCCTGTAAACTCACCCTGTTCTGGCAGTTGTAGTTCCGTCTCAAACCACCACACTACAGAGAGGACGCACAAGGCAACATTTTGTAAAATGTGCCCCGCCCCGCCCCTGCACACACTTGCCATGGGGCCACTGCCTTTGTATCAGGCTTTGTCTAAAAGGAAGCAAACCCCTTGTTTTCCATCTCTCGCCTCCCTACTGTCCACTGTCCAGAGGCAGCCAGTGACGTCTTCAAAAGGGAAATCAGTTCACAGTGCCCTCTGGATGAAAACCCACACCTCCGAGCTCACAGCCTCCGCCTGCAGCCTCCGTTCCCTGAAACAGCCTCCCTCAGACCTTCCCTGGAGCCCACCTCTCAGGGCCAGCGCCGCCCCCAGCCGGCCACACTTGCTCCTGGCCTTGAGTGCACTCCCTCGTGCCTTTCTACCGCCGTCCGCAAGACGCTTGCCTGTTACCTTCTGTGCTAACGCCTGCCTCCTTTACCCAGAACACCCCACGAGAGCAAGGACTTTTGACTTGTCAGTAGCGCGCCCCTGAGTCCCAGGACCGTGCCTGCTACAGAGAAAGAAAGAAAGTGAGGTCGCTCAGTGGTGTCTGACTCTTTGCAGCCCCATGGACTGCGGCCCGCCAGGCTCCTCTGTCCCTGGGATTTTCCAGGCAAGAGAACTGGAGTGGGCTGCCATTTCCTTCTCCAGGGGATCTTCCTGACCCAGGGATAGAACCCGTATCTCCCACACTGCAGGCAGACTCTTGAGCATCTGAGCCAGCAGTGTACAGTGAAGGTGACCAGTTAAATCAGGACGGAGGAGAGGGGAGGGGAAGTCAGGAGGAGAGGGGCCGGACGGGTGGAGGCAGGACAGGAGGGAGCGAAGGATTTGCTCAGGGCTCAGATCAGGCTACTGTTTTGAGCTGAAGGTATTTCCCAGGTACAGCCCGGGGCTTTAGGGCAAGAAGCCAGTTACAGAAGGGGACAAGTGAGACAGAGAGGAAGAAAAAAAAACAACAACAGTGAACGTGTGTGCAAAGCATGCATTTCAGAAGAACGGTGAAAGAAAGCCTGGGTCCAGGCAGGCACACGGCAGAGGAGTGAGGATACGTTGGCCCTGGAATATCACTTATTTTGCTAGCTCAGAAAGAGACTTTTGGAAAACGTCTCGAGTCCTTGGAGTGGAGAAAGCAGAAGCTGCCTTTTGGAGTTCCAAGGGAAAAAAACGGGGGCCAAGACAGACAGCGTCTGTGTGCAGGAATGCAGTTTGGGAAGGAGAGCAGTGGGACCAGGTGGGACGCAGACCAGACGCGCCGGGGTCGGGAGCCAAGGGCCGGGGAGAGAGCGCCAAGGGCCGGGGCTTCCCGGGACCACGCGAGGCGGTGCGGCCACTGCTGCGGTGACGCATCTGCACTTGGACCCAAGCCCTCCGTGGTGAACCCTTCCCTTTCCCGCTGCGGAGCCTTCCACTGACCCTCAAAGCACATCAGCCCAGCTCTCACAAAACGACCGAGGAAAGTCAAGTCTGCCAAAATCCCAAGGCAGAGGAGTGGCATCTGAGAAACAGCCCCCCGCCCCCGCCCCCAGGAGCACCTTCTGCTGGAGTTCAGGCAGCCAGAGTGTATTCTGTGGGGGGATCTCCACGGGGGAGTTGATCAAAGGGATGAAAAGAACCGAGCAGGCCTCCCAGACAGACTAGAGAGATGACCCCGGGATTTCCAGTTTACCGGTCAGGAAGAAACGTCAGAGAGCTGACCGGTCTGAACCCCACCTTCACGAAGTCAACGGCGGAGCCTGAGAGCGTTCTGTGAGTACACCAGCCAGAAGGCGTCTGCGAGAGGGGCGTCAAAGCCAGCAGTTGGCAGACAATGCTGCAGCCCTCTTCCTGGCGGTACAGCGGCGGGGCAGGCTGGGCTCAGCCCTGAGCACACGACGGCCACAGGGCACCTTCCCGTCGAAGGGCCCGGGGCTGGGCAGGGCCCTGGGGACGCCACCAGTCAGGCAGAGCATCTCACCAGCGGTCACGGGGCTGCCTTCTGGGGCCACAGGGGTGGAGACTGTCCCTGGCCCTGTGCCCCACTCTGGCCCCAGGAACGTGAATGTGAATATAGCACACAGGATGGGGCAGGGCTGGCTCTGAACTCAGAGGCCTCCGCATTACTCTTCCTGGACGTCAGGGGACGGGGTCCCAGGCCCGCCAGGCTGTACACTCAAACCCAGTGGGAGCAGCACCCCTGGAGCTGTCCAGGTGATGGGAGCAATTCTCTCTTGGCTTAGAAAATGAGAATGCCCACGAGGCCAGCAAAGGCTCTGAGAAGCCCTGCAGTAAACAAGTGCCATAAAAACTTGGGAACTGCTTCTCCCTTTTTCCAGCCACAGAACCCTCGTTTCAGAGAATACCTCCTAAGATTCCAGGGGACTGGGCTCATGGTTTGTTGTTTAGCTGCTCAGTCGTGTCCGACTCCTTTGCAACCGCATGGACTGTAGCCTACCAGGCTCCTCTGTCCGTGGGGTTTCCCAGGCAAGAATACTGGAGAGGGTTGCCATTTCCTTCTCCAGGGCATCTTCCGGGACAGGGGTTGAACCTGTGTCTCCTGCATTGGCAGGCGGATTCTTTACCACTGAGCCAGCAGGGAAGCCTGGGCTTATGGAGACTGTACTTAAGAAAAGGCTCCACCCGGAGAAGCAGGTTCACTGTATTTGGTTCTCCAAGACATCCCTAGAGCTGACTCGTGTTACTGACCCTCTGGGAGGCCATCCTCACCCTGACCTTGAACCTGCCTGTGTTCAGAAAGACACTCAGGAGGGCCCAAAGGGTCTCCACGCTCAGCTGCTTCCTCCATAACACAAGCCTCTGTCTGGGGCAACAAGAGGTGCTCAGAGCTTACTCGTGACCGCAGGTCCTGATGCAAGACAGAGAACCAGCGACCGACCCCCTTTTCTTTCCAAGATGCTCGCGCTGGTCTGTGTGGGGGGAGGACGGGCTGGGTGGGAGGGGCCGGCACATTTCCTGCTCCAGAGACCAAAGCAGCACGGAAAGAGTCAGGGGAGGACAGCTCCAGCCCCTGCTCTGGCATCACTTATTCATGGAGCACCTCTGCCTGACCCAGCCCCGAGCAGACGGGCGGAGCGCGGTCAGGTTACAGCCCACTTTGTCCATCTCGGGCGGGAAGGCACTCCACACCAGTGCAGTTTCCTACACAATAGCCCCCTTGCAGCTAAGTGTGAATGCTTGACCTTCGCCATTTCGGGTATACATCGTTGAGAGAATGGATGGCGCCTGGGTCTCTCTTCTTAAAACAGCACAGTGCCCCTAAGTCAACCTGCGTTTGAATGTTCAGGACCAGACAGCTCAGTGACTAACTCAGCAGTATTCTGAGGTCACCTTTGTAAGGCACTTGGGGCAGTCTGACTCTAAACTAAGAGGTTCTTAGGACTTTTGCTGTATACATTTGGGGGGAAGTTTTTGAAAGATAGTTTTACTAGACAGGGGACATGGAAACTATAAGACATCGCAGATTGTCAAAACTTTGCATAAAGTCAGTCAACAGTCTCTGAGTGAGCATCCTGCACTCACTGCATCTGACATCCAGCACCCGGTCTTTATGATAACTATTGTGGCTATTTCGATGCTTTTTGCCTTACTTCCTACGCTTGGGTGCATTCCCGAGGGTAAATTTTCCAGAATAACTGACATTTCAGGGTGTCTCAGATGCTGTTGCCACTCAAGAGCAAGGCTGAGCCGCAGATGCCAGCCAGTGGCATAGGCTTCCCTTCTCTCATGCAGAAATCCAAGCCACCTGTTTCCGTCCTTCCCCAGGGAAAGGCCGCTCTGCCCACCCTGCCCTCTCTGCCCCTGCAGTGGCACCTGTCTGGTCCTAAGTGAGCCTTGCCAACACAGCTCGCTCTTCCTCGCTGTGATCATAGACCAACGTCACCCACACTGCCACTCCCAACACGTCTGCCCCCCAGCTGGGCCCCTCCACCCCACTCGGGCACCTACAGACACACAAAGCCGCCTCTGCATCTGTCCTTTGGCCCCCCCAGCCCCTCAGCTGGGCTCACCACAGCGGAAGCTCGCTGCTTCCCCGCATCAATGCGCGGCTCTGTTCCATGGGCACGTGGTGGAGACGGCCTGCAGCCTGCCCACGAGCCCCCATTCATGCGCCCTTCCGAGGCAGCCACCCTTCAAGCTCTCCCCTTCCCTCCGCCCCAGCCCCTCCCCTAAATACACAACAGAAGACTATATAGTGGGAGGTGTTTTTTTCCCCTCTTTCTCTCCAGGAATAAAAGCTTAGCTTTCCTTCCTTTCTGTTGCCCTATCCTCGGTCTAAAATTAGCAGATGGAAAGAGAGTGGAAGCAGTTAAAGGACCCGGTCTGTGACCTGGCCACACTCCTGGGGTCAGAAGGGCCCTCATGTGCTCTTTCTGTTGCCACGGTTGTGGGACGGGGGCAACTAAACCCCTAGTGCCCACCGCAAACCGCTGCTGGGCAGCGATTCCTGCACAGACTCGAGCGAGGCCTTAAAGGTCATCTTGTTCAACTCCCTTCATTTAAAGAGGGGACACCGAGGCCCCAGACAGGTAGCGGCGGCCCGTACAGTCAGCTTGCTGGGCAGGGGCTTGGCTACGGGGCACGGAACCCACGCACAGTGAGGAAGACGAGCCGCCTACCGTCATCCAAGTAGGTCTGGTCCAAGTTCTGCTCCTGCTTGATGGTCACGCCCGCGGGCAGCGCCTCCTTCTGGTCAGTGGCCGGGGGCCCGTTTCTGGCGGCCCTCTGGCTGGGGGCGCCCTGCTGCTGGGTGGCGGCGGGGCAGGGGCCGGGGCTCAGCCTCTGGCCCTGGCTGGCAGCGGGCGGCCCGGGCCTGGCGGGGCCCGGCGCGAAGTTCTCGCAGTACACGATGTGCTGGAACTCCTGGTGGCCCCCGCAGCGCAGCGGCTGGCTGGTGGGCGAGTAGTGGATGACGGGCGAGGCCTGCTGGCTGGCCGGGCCGGGGTGCAGCAGCGCCGCGCCCTGGCCCTGCGCGCCGGCGTGCACCAGCACCGAGCGGTGGGCGTCCGCCAGCGCCAGCGGGGCGGCCATGAGGGCGGGCTGCTGGTAGCCCAGCATCCCGGGGCTCAGGCTCTTGCCCCGCTGGTAGAGGACGGCCGCCGGGCTCTGCTGCTGGTAGCGCGCGTCGGGGGACGAGAGCCCCGAGCGGAACTGCTGGCAGGGAGCCATGGTGGCCACGAGGCAGGAGGGGGGCTCGGCCACCATGGGGTGCTGCGGGTAGTAGGGCTGGCTCCCCAGGCCCCCGTGGGCGGGGCTGCAGATCAAGGCGGGGTCGTACTCATCGGTGGGCTCCGTCTTGATGGCCGGGACTGCGAGAAGAGCACAGGGGCGGACCTCTCAGCGCCAGCAGCGCGGCGCACGGAGGATGGGCGGGTGGCGGGTAGGAGCACAGCCTTGGGAGGCCAGACGGGCGGGATCCAAGACCTGGGCTCGGGCAAGAGGCTCCCCGCGCAACTGTCTTAGGTTAGAAACTTTACCTTGGATGGCCTTGAGCTATTCGTCTTTCTCCTAGCGGAAGGTGGCTGGTGGGTTCCCACCAGCCCTGGGATGTGTGCTGTCTTTTCCCCCAAAGGGGAGAGCTCAGACAAGAGCTCGATGTAAAATTATGCCTCCGCCTCCTCCATATGCCCTGGCAGCTCCCATCCCTTCCCTGCCTGCCGTCCTTCACCGCACTCGGCAGCGTCTGAAATGTCTGTGCACTCCACGCGCTGTTAGCATCTCAGCCCCCCACAGAGGATTCTTGGTCCTTTCTGTTCAATGCTGGGACCCTGGCACCCTAAATAGTTGTTCAGGTTTAGCTGCTAAGTCATGTCCAACTCTTTGGCGACCCCAGGGGCTGCAGCCTGCCAGGCTGCTCTGTCCATGGGATTCTCCAGGCAAGAATACTGCAGCGGGTTGCCATTTCCTTCTCCAGGGGATCTTCCCCGCCCAGGGATCAAAGCTGGGTCTTCTGGATCGCAGGCAGATTCTTTACCGTCTGAGCCACCAGGGGAGCCCACCCTAAACAGGACCTGGCACTGAGTGGGCACTCAGATATTTTCTTGACAAAGGGATGAATGAAACCTGGCTCCTGTTGCCCATCTGGGGATGGCAGTGCTCGGTGGGAATGAGGCCTCCTCGCCTGGTGATCCGCCCAGTAACTCTGTCTGTCTATCAAGTGACCACCTACCGTGGGGCCCCTAAGGATCTGGATTTTACAGCATATTCACTTTCTGCCGCTATTATGATCAAATCTACAATAGAGAGAGGAGTCAGCAACCTTGCCATCTTCCAGTAAACAAGCCTACATGTGCCCCATTCTTATTCTGCCCTTGCAAAGGAAAATATTAATAACAATAGCTAATATCGTGGATGTAGACGGACCCAAGCACTTTACATGCATTTGATTTCTGTAACTCTCATAAGGAAGGTGCCATCTGACAGATGAGGAAGCTGAGGCTCAGAGAGGGTGAGTCACTTGCCCAAAGTCACCCAGCAGATCACAGGCGTCCTCACCCGCACACAGGCAGTGCCGCCTCTTCATGCCCAAGGGGCCTCCAGAGAGAACTCCTTACCTGGGTGGTAGGTAAAGTGCTGAGGCTGGCTTCGTTTTCTTTTCCCGTTAATCACATAGAAGTTCACCTTCACCGAAGTCCGAATGTGCTTGTTCCGATACTCAGGAATCTCAACAAAAAGCATGTTCTGAAAGAAAGTTGTCAGTAATTTAACTGCAACCGCAAGTAAATTCCCATCCAAGGTCCTAAGCACAGTGAGCCAGCCCATCTAAAAGGACTGGTGGGGAGGGATACATTGGGAGTGTGGGGTTAACAGATGCACAGTACTCTACATAAAATAGACAAATAGGATTTGCTCTATAGCACATGGAACTGTATTCAATCTCTTGTAATAATATATAATGGACAAGAATTTTTTAAAAGAAGAATATGGATATATATGTATACACGTACATAACCGAATCACTTTGTTGTGCACCCAAAACCAACAGCATATTGTAAACCAACTATACTTCAATAAAAATAAAAAGGCTCATGACATATCCTGCAGGCTTACAGACAAAATTCTAATTAAAGGGAACTTGACTTTTCAGCTGCAGCAAAGATGACTTACTACTTACTCTATCAAAGTATATTTAAGATGTCACTGTTACAAATCAGAGGGTCTGATGCTCAGGAAACATGTAATTCACAAGTCAAGTCAATACCCACTAAATGCCTATTTGGTCCACAGCACTGGGACGTTGATGAAGGAAGGAGAGAAAAGAGGGAAAGAGAACACCAGGGTGTGGGGTGGACAGGACATCCATCCAGTCAGCGTGTCTGGGTGCTTACAGGCTGGCTCTTGTCTTTATCCACCGTGGCCTCCATCTCCCAAATTTGCTGTCCATCTGGAAAAATTTAGAAATGACAGACTTTGAAAGAATTCTTAGCAACCGAAGATTTAAGACAAAAAACTCACCAACTTATACCGATCTTGGCTTCTAAGTTTGATCACTTCAGTAAAGTACACCCGCATGTCTGCATTAGGTGTGCATGTATGTACATATACGTATTTTTGTTTCTATAAACGCATATTTCTTTTTGCAAAGAGAAGGCACATGGACAACAGAAAACTGGGCAACGCTACAAAATCAGGGGAAAAATAGAAATTGTCCATCATCCCAAAACCATTATCTTTTTTTCTCTACATTTAAATATCTACATCATTCTTTAAAATACAAGGATTATTACATGCTTTACTTTATAATATGCTTTGTTCAACCAAAGACTATTTCCAAAATGTTCTGCATATGCCAAGACTTGGTCACAGGGGCCCCATTACAGACCCGTAGCTGTCCCAGACATGACTTCTCCATCGTCTGAGAACACAGGTGGCTCTCATGTTCTGTCCTTGGAGGTTTAAACAATGTCCTGGCTCGAGAGGCCTTGGAGAGGCGGGGAACACAGGCGCCCACCCTCCACCTTTCAGTCGACAGAGAGCCTGGCGTTCACGTGACTCATCACAAGGCGCGGGGAGGTTTCAGTGGTGAACCCTCCTTCCCTGGAGCAGGGCACTGGCTCCCCAGTTTGAGGCCAACAAGTTGGGCCAAACACAACTCTGCGTTTGCAAATAATAGATTTCTTTTGCTGACCACCTACATCAGCCAGTGGGCAGTTTGGGGCTGAAACAAATCATTTCCACAAGTGTTTCCAGGGTGTTTTGTGGAGCACTGGCTCTGAAGAATATTAAATGGGTTTATGAGAAAGGAAAGCAAGCTCTACCAGCTAGTAAGCATTTGGCAAAGGCAGAGTCAGGCAAGTGGATTTCTTTACTGCAGGACTGCTCAGAGCCTTTGATCTGCTCAGGTGTAGCATTAACTCGCCAAGGTGGGCTGGGTATGTACTGTGTCCCGACATTTGGCCAAAGGACCCCCACCTCTCTTTGCAAGCACGGTGATTAGCAGCTTCTGTGATAGGTTAGATTTGAACCATGTAGTCTTGGACCAGCAGGTTTACCCAAAGAAACTGAGTTTCCAAGCATTATTTCAACTCGTAGAGGACCTATTTCCCAACATAATAAGTAATAAAAACTTGTGATCACCACCAAAGCTGATGCAATCAAGATGATCTGCAGAAAGAACAAGCACTAAGCCGGCTGGAGCCCTCTCCAACAAGTCAGCCTGCATGTCCTGAAATGATGAGGGGAGACACAGGTTTACGCCCAAAGGGAAGAGACCCCTGTGGAGGGAACCAAGTTAGAGTTGCCACCGTCTCACCAACACCCAGCACACGGTAGGTGCCTAGTAAACATCTCATGTCTGAATGTACAAAAGTGGCAGCAGCTCCAAAGGCTGCTGACGGGGGCAGGGAAAAACCAGGAGCTGACATCAGCCGCTGCTCAAAAGGAAGCGAGAGAGAACGGATGGATAGACGTCAAGGAATCTGAAGTCAAGTCATCAAGACAGGGTACGTCCAGTGTGCGACGCCCTGGACAGAGCTCTTCTGAGAAAATCCTCACTTTTAAAAAATCAGAGACAGGTCATAGGTCATCGAAGAGACACGTGTCCACCTCTCAGATGGCAGTTTGAGCTAAGCACAGGTCCTCATCAAAAACCACATCCTCACTAGCTGCAGTGTGAGCTGTGTCAGAAGATCAAGTGGCAAATTAACCCAGGAAAGGAACAATGTTGATGTCTGGTGTGTTGCCCTCCTCCTTAGCCTCTCACTGGCTGAACCGAGTTCTTGTATCACGTGGTTCCAGATTCCCGAGCCCATGCAGCTCCTCCACCAAGTTAATGGAGGTAGGCAGGCTCTGGCGGTGGCTTGGCCTTCAAGACTCAGCTGAAGTTTTGGACCAAGTTTATCCCCTCTGGGTACCCCCACCATCACCTGTCCTACCGCCTCCCCCATCCTACAGGACGCCCTCAGGGACCATGACGTCATTTCATGCCCAGGACTGTCATTTGTTGCATGATCAGAGTTTACTACATCGCTGCAGTAAGTAACAGTTATAACTAAGTGGTGGCTGAAGCAGAAAAGCGCTTCTTCAAAGAAAACAGAGGTCCATGGGATGGAAACAACCCAAGTGACCATCTGTGGATAAAGGGAAAAACAAAATGTGGTCTATACATATGGTACGGATGTGAGACTTGGACCATAAAGAAAGCTGAAAGCCGAAGAATTGATGGTTTTCGAATTGTGGTGTTGGAAAAGACTCTTGAGAGTCCCTTGGACTGCAAGGAGATCCAACCAGTCCATCCTAAAGGAAATCAGTCCTGAATATTCATTGGAAGGACTGATGCTGAAGCTGAAACTCCAAAACTTTGACCACCTGATGCAAAGAACTGACTCACTGCAAAAGACCCTGATGCTGGGAAAGACTGAAGGCAGGAGAAGAAGGGATGACAGAGGATGAGATGGTTGGATGACATCACCGAATCAGTGGACATGAGTTTGAGCAAGCTCCAGGAGTTGGTGATGGACAGGGAGGCCTGGCGTGTTGCAGTCCGTGGGGTGGCAGAGAGTCAGACGTGACTGAGTGACTGAACTGAACTGATACATACAGTGGAATATTATTTAGCCTTAAAGGGGAGCAAATTTTGATACGTGCTATAAGCATAGACCTTAAAAACATGAAATACACCAGACACAGAAGGACAAATATGGTTTGGTCCCACTCATATGAGGCACACAGAATAGGCCAGTTCATAGAGACAGAAAAGGGACTGCAAGTTACCAGGGCCTGGGGAAGGAGAGACTTATTATTTAACAGGCAGAGATCTCCTGTTTCAGAAACGGGAAATGTCCTGAAAACAGTGCTGTGTTACACAGCATTGTGAATGCATTTCCATACTACTGAATGAAACGCCTACAAATGGTTAAAACGATCAGTATTACGTTATGTGTGGTTTGTGTGTTAGTCACTCAGTCGTGTCTGACTCTTTGAGACCCCGTGGACTGTAGCCTGCTAGGCTCCTCTGCCCATGGAATTCTCCAGGCAAGAATATCGGAGTGGGTTGCCATTCCCGTCTCCAGGCGATCTTGCTGACCCAAGGATGAAACCAGGTCTCTCCTGCACCGCAGGCAGATTCTTTACGGTCTGAGCCACCGGGAAGCCCAGGGTGTAGTTTACCATGGCCCTTTTGTTTTGAAAGCCAACTGGCCTATAGGATGGCTTAGTGGCTTTTTAATTAGCTGCTGACATTTCAAGATGAAATTTCACCTAGAAACGAAGATTTTGCTCTTGAAAAAATAATTCTGAGAGGTGCCTGATTTTTCCTTCCTTTTAAATATGGGTCTTTTCACCATTATTTCCATTTTTTAAGGCCCCAAAGGCAGTGTTAAGACATTTGGCCCGGCTGCCTGAATGGAGGGCGGGGACGTGCTCCCAGAGAGCAGGGCCCCACCACGGTCTTGTTCTCTGCTTTCTCCCCGGGACGACGTGTCTGGCGCTCAACAGATGCTCAATAAACACAGGTGGACTAAATGCACAAACCAACCTCAGGATTCCCCGGCACTCAGCCCATCGCCAGAGCTTGGGAAATGGCCGGCTACTGGCCACTCTGCAAAAAGACCCCACAAAGAGAAATCACCGCGTGTCAGTGAAGAATCCTTTGAGGGAACTGACTGAAGGAAGGAGCCTGTTATTACAGGTGCAGACAAGGAATCAAACTCAACCAGAGCCACTCAGCCCGAGTTCTCGATAATTTTAGGTAATCCACCTCCGGGTTGCTACCCTAGGTCCGGGACTCGGAAAACCTGCCCAGAACAGAAGAGGCTAGAGAAGACCAAGCCTGCTTCTACTGCTCTGGGCTGAGATGAAATAAAGGACTTCGGTCTCTCGAGAAGATGTTTGGGCAAACTTCCCCTGTCCTAAATTAACAGGCGCTGGCAGCCAGCACAAAATAGGCTCTTCCAAGTCTTTACTCAGAGGCTATAAGAGCCAGCTCCTTTGGGCAAAGAGGTTGGGTCTACAGAAGCCTCAGCAAGACTCTGTAAGACAGAAACAATGGGGTGGGAAGCACACGGCTCAAGAAATATCCCAGCCTCTGCTCTAACTTGGCCGTGGTGCCAGGAGCACACGGGGCCCCGGGCCAGGGGGCCCTGTGGATGGATGGCCCCGATGGTTGGTTTAGTGGAGTTCTTGCAGGCAGCTCTTGAACCCTCTGATGGAGCAGTGCATCTGGAAGCGGCAAGCAGGGCAGCGTCGGGTCCAGGCTGGAGTCTCCGCAGTCGGTCTCATGTCAGCGGTGGGCTCACATCAGCATCCCCCGCAGAAAGGAGCACGCTCTCAGAAGGAAAGCAAACTCGTCCTCACTGGGGCCCATGAGCGTGCCACTGGGCTCCAAGTGAACCGGGGGGAAATCAAAGTGTCAATTTGGGTTAGGAAACTGCGTGTGATGCTTCCCAGGCCTGGCTCTGCTTTTTAAAATTAGCTCCCTTCTCCATGAAGATGGCTGAAGTCATTTGGGTCTGCTCTTTACAATTGCTTAACAAGCAGAAAAACTCACGCTCTCTGGATGCACGGGCTTAATGAGCCGAGCAAATGAGGGGTGGGGGGGTCAGGAATGGACCCTTAGGATTTCATCCACCCAGAATGGTACCACTGGGCTCTCAGGTGTCTCAGTGGTAAAGATCTGCCTGCCAGTGCAGAAGACGCAAGTCCGATCCCTGGGTAAGGAAGATCCCCTGGAGAAAGAAATGGCAACACACTCCAGTATTCTTGCTGGGAAATCCCATGGACAGAGGGGCCTGGAGAGCTACAGTCCACGGGGTCACAGAGTCAGCCACGACGGAGTGGACTAAACCACCACAAAAATGGTGCCACTGCCCTCGATGCGTTGCCTGAGAGCTGGAGAGGAAGGGCCTGATTCCCACACCTCCCCTCTTTCCTTCCGCCTCACCACTT